AATGGGACAAAATTACCATATCTTTGTACAATAAATAATCTTTAAAGATCTAGAGAGGCCAATGGGAGGGGGGATGAATTGTGTTAACTAATAGTGCTCTCTAGAACTATTGTTTTGTTCAGTCCGCATGAGGATAGTGACAAATGGGGAAAGTACAGGCAAATAATAGATCAACTTAAGATTTGTTATTGAGTACTAAATTAATATTTTGCTGACTCCTGATCATCGTATTTCTCTTGCTTTTGGACAATAAAGCTTTATTTTATCAGCTTATTTTGTTTTAATCTATGGATCATTACATTATACTGAGGTGACATTCATTCGTGAGACAGGACTTTTTGATATTTTCTTTTCACTCGTGCTTCACACTCGTGAAAACAATAATAAATCTTGTCCCACTCGTGAAATAAATTCCATATTCATCTACAAAACATTGAATATCATCTCTCTCTCTCTCTCTCTCTCTCTCTCTCTCTCTCTCTCTCTCTCTCTCTCTCTCCAATATAACCAATAGTAATAAAAAACTGAGAAAAAATTCCAGTTACGTTCCGTATCTTTAAATGGACGATGGAATGAAATAAATATTCTTGAATAGGATTATTATAGTATTTATAAGAGTAGGGCTTTAATAAAATCAAGTCTATGCGGATTTCAATGCAAGATTGTCATATGCAATTGTATTAATAGTTTCTATTTCCTGATATTCGTTTATATTTTCATTTGTTTTTAACTCCTCGTAGAATGATTTTTCACTCATAGTATTCCAAACAGCAGATCCTACAGTTGTTTCAGCACCATTACTTGGAATGGGACGCATTATCTTCCTCGGATAGAATTTCAAAACTCCTTGCCTTCAATAATAGAATAAACAAATATGACGAGATTGTTATGAATTACCGATATATATATGTACCGAATTATGATACAAATCAGATCCGAAAAGAACAGTTACATTTTCCTAAAACTTGTAAAATCCTTTACTATATGTACGTTACATTATTGTATTTCTTTTGACAGGAAACCTTAAAAGCAAGTATTTTAAGGGAGAACACCCTCTGCTAAGTCATATAGAATTTTTCGTGTCAGCGTTACATTTTTTCCGAAGAGGAAAATGCGAGAAAACTTTATTTCAAGTAAATATTAGATAAACCATTGTTAAATACATTTAACAAGTTTGTGTAAATAGAGAAATCACTGAAGAGGCTCATTCCTCTCTTAATTTTTTTCTTCAAGTTACAAAAATCTTCGTAATGATGAGGTTTCAAGTAACATTTTATAAAGAATGAAGATTACCATGTAAAAAAGAGTTTGTCAAAAATAGGAAGAAGTGTACTTTACACTATGTTATGTGTTTTTTACCAAATGAGTATTAGGAAGATAAAAATGAATAATCCAAATATGGTGTTCAGAACAACTGATATATAAAATCCAAGGGTCCATTTTCCAGTTGGCGTTTCATCTACAACAGAAATTAAAGTTCAGAGTTTTATCAAGAAACTTTGCTTATCTGCTCCTTTCCAAGCAAACAGACAAATAAGACGTTTTGTAATCAATAGAACATATAGCAGAAACATACACTGGCTATCACAGAGCAATCCATGATATTGATCCTGACATCCCTGGGGGCAGATTCCATCAATTCTACTGCAGGTCTCACCGTTAACACAGTGACCACTACATCTATGCTGACAATTTACTCCAAAGAATCCTTTTCTACATTCTAAAATCATTAACAATAAAATTATTTATCTTTATCTAGATGTATATAATAACATGTAATATGCCAAACTATGGCATTTTTTAAAGCATGTCAATTTGCTTTCTCGAGATAATTTCGTTCTTAGCTTGCATACAGTTGCTGAATTGTATTTAAGCCAACAAAGGAAAGGTAATGTTGGCAAACATCACCATTATCAAATTATATTGAGAATATTCAATGTAGCAGAGAATATACAATAGTACAATGGGGTAATTAATTAATGATAGAACGTCTTTGTCTTCAAAATCATTATTTAGACATCCAATTATAGAAATATTCAAAATCACAAAATTAAAAATATTTATTTCACAGGTTGTTTTTTCAACTTAATGTCATCAATAATGCAATTGTAGGAACCTGTTGTGCAGTTTGGGGAATCTTCGAATCCATGTGAACAGTCACATTGACCGTTGATATGATTGCATATGCCAATACAATTTTTTGAACAGATTCGCCCACACTTGTATCCGAAGGTACCATTTGAGCAAGCTGAAAATGAAAATTTACATTCGGCTAAGGAATATTTAAAATCAATTTAATCTTTTTATCCCTTAGATGTTATACAAATTTAGCCAAAAAAAAAAAGATTGAAAAAAGAACTAGTAATGAATATTCAAGATTTTCAGAAAATTACATATTAATTGGAATAATGAGCATCCTCATCTATTAGCAAAGATTTATTCTTGCACTTCTATTAATGTACGTAAGAAACACAATTGATTGGCGTCATTCCAACTCACGGGGGAGGCGTGAATGAAAGCAAGAGGCAACGCAAATATGTTTTTTCGCTTCTACAATTTCTTACCATATATCGTTTTTTTAAAAGACAAAACCTTACGAAAATAGCTCAACTAATGTCAAAAGTACATAAAATAACGAAAAGTACATAAAAATATCAATGTTATTTTATATCAAAATAAAGAGAATCTTTTGAATGAAGAAGATGGATTTTTAAACATTTTCAAGTAGAACAAGCTATGCAAAGTCACAGACACTAAGTTTTTCTTCAAGGTAAGAAAAACCTTAATTTTTTCAAATGAGAAAACCATTCCGTATAAAAATATCATTGTGAAAAACTTCCACCGATTGAAAGTAAAACTAAACTCAAATTCATTCTAAAATCTTACGATTAAAACACCTTATCCCAGTATAACCGTTAAAACATCCTTTTATACAGGTTCCATTTATGTGGTCACATATTCCGTTGTTACAGTATTTACTACAGCGTTTACTGCAATTGTTACCAAATGTTCCACTTGGACAAGCTGTTAAAAAAAAATAAAACTTAATGAATAAATTTAAGATAAGTGGACATCAGAATCTATGAGAATATGACAAATAGTAAAAGGAGATACTAACATGCTTCACAGAGAGTTCCAGCATATCCTGGATTACAGCCCTTTTCACAAAATCCATTTTCTTTTTTACAGAAAGTCCCATTTATACAGTGTTCACTGCAGAAATAAACACATCCTGGACCATAGGTTCCATTGTCACATTCTATAATTTGTGAGATCAAATATTAATGTAAATGTTCTTTGACTCTGTGCCGTCCATCTCTTTTACTTAGTATAGAAACATTAATAAAATAACTTGTTTAAATACATTTCTCTGTAAAGATATCAAGAGAGATTTAATGAAGAATATTATTTCACAGTGCATTCAAGCTAGTGATAAGGTTACATGTAAGTACATTTGTGCCAAGAATATGTTGACCAAAAAATTGATTTATATGTTTGCATTTTTCCTTACTAGTGTTGATGGAAGATACAAAACTGGAGTATATGAAGGGAAGCTACATGAGGTATGAGAAAAAAAGTCCCTCAGCGAGATCTCTTTTTCATTTAACATCAGCTTTTCAGACACAGAAAGAATATAGTTGCAAATCCCTTTTCATTTAATACATTACAGAAAAAGCTACTCTTAAAAGATATGATACATGAACATGTATATGTATCTCGTAAAAAGAGGGGAACTTTTTTAACAATATTCACGTAGATCACACTGCTTCCCCATCCATCCAGCTGCACATCCTCCATCACAATATCCGGTCACGTGGTTACAAGTAATGTTTCTTTTACATTGTCCTGGACATTGGCTACTACACAATTGGCCATACCTTCCCCATGGACATCCTGTTTTTGGAATAGGTATCCAATTTATAATAACAGAATATACAACAGTTCTGCAATGCAATGATTCTCACATTTGTTATTGCATTCTTTAATATACCGTATTTGCATGTTTGTCCCACAAATCCTGGCGCGCATCCCAAACACGTTCCATTAACAATATTACAACTTTGCTCTTGACAGTTGAGTGGACATGCTGTACTACAGTTATATCCATAAACTCCTGCTTTTATACAACCTAGTTAACATGAAAGGTAATTAAACTTTCTAGTGCGAAGTTCTATAGCACCGCCACCACTTACCAGAATACAATTATGTTTAAGAGTTGTAATCTCAGATATCCATCTCTCATTCGCACAATCTGTCATACATTCTTCTCACAAAAGTTTTTTTTTTTTCAAAGTCTTCACTGATCGACACTTTCCTTGTTCTACTTAAAGATTCAGAGCGTATGCATACTCATAACCCAAGATGCTAAAGACCGCTCATCTCATAAACTTCACACTGAATTTAATTAATACTTAGTAACATAAAGTGCAATAAAAGCCAGAGTATTAACAGGGAATTACAAACTCTGATTTTTTTTTTTATTCTTCTCCGCGAATTTGCAAATGTGAAGTGGTCTAAATTATTTAAGTATACTAGGATAGTAAAAGGTCTAAAAGACCCTAATTGAAAATGTTAGCAATTTCATTTATGATTTGTCTGGCACAATTAACACTAATTTCAAACATGATTTCAGTCTGCTCAGGATTATCATAAAACTGACAGGATAAATAATAATGAAGAGAAAACGTTACAAATTGCAAAATTTAATATACTGGACCCTTCTAGATCATACCAAAGCAAGGCAGATCACTTATTATAATTCATATCCTCGCTAGAAATGATAGCATTACTTACTTCAATAACATTGAAACACCAACATTTAAATACCATCATAAAGAAAATTGCTCATCCATGTGCTTTATGAAAACATTTACTTCCGTCTTCGCACAAAAAACGTTAGGTATTTTTGATAGATAATTATGAAAATAAACATCATTAGTATACTGTTCAAAAATATTGCTGAATATAAAACATTATTACAATACTAATTAAAACAAATTTCAAATACCTTCAATTTTCACTTCACATAATTCGGTCCAGCTCTGAATTTGGTATTCCTCGGGGTATTTAACTCCGTCCAGTCTTTCATTGTAATAGATTACATAACGACCGTATCCAATACATGTTGTACTGAACTCCAAGGGAGGTAAGGGAAGTGTGTTCTTGTAACAAAGTAGACCGTCCTCTTTCTTGGGAGTGTTGGATATATAAAGGGAGAATCCTGCAAAACGACCTCTTTGTCTCATCTCTAAAATGTAAAACAAAATCATTATTTAAACAAGTGTATGGTATTTTAACCTGGTAGATTTTTTGAATCCCACTCAAACAACAGTTTCAAAAGATGTTTACATATTGCTTTCTTTTGCTGCTAACTGTTTAAAAGATTTTCTCCGAGTGGATATAATTCAAATGTATCAAATATAAGAAAAAATATTTTCCTAGAAAATGAGAGAAATCAATTATAATTTACCTAAATTATTCTTGTAATAATTCGAAGTGCAATAAAAAAGTTTACACAATTCTGCTTGAAAGACATTTAAAGAATCCCCCCTCCCCTTCTTCTCTTCCTTCAATGATTGTCATTACTATCAAAAACCATTTTCTAAGGTTCATGATTTTGCCGTTAATTAAATTATTTTTAGAATTTTTATCATTCTCTTCAGAAAGAGATTTATGTGAATACAGGTCTTTTATCAAATGCAAATTTTATTTCAGACATCGCCGAAGATGTTTCAGTAGTGATGATACTTCAGTACTACCTTGAAAATACGGATATACGAGAGTTGTTACAAAAGTTCGCGGACACGTTCTATTGTGAGCGCGCTGTTTGGATGAAATCAGTAAAACTCTGCAGGTAAAAACAATACGTATTTTCCAACTAATATGCAAAAATTTGGTGTTTTCTGATGATCTTCAAAAATATACAGCGAAATTATTTAGATAAAACATGCTTCACGGAGCATGCTACTTTTTGGCACTTTTACATTAAAGAGACATAATTTTGAATTAAAAATTGCACTGTTGTAGCGCATAAAGATTTATGATATTTCACCTCTCGCTAAGATATTTATGAAACGTCATTTGGCGAAATTTTGAATTAAATTGGAGGAGATATGACTATTTTATCACTAATTATAGATGATCAATGCGTAAAAACAAAGCCAAAAAAATGGCAACGTCACGGAACGTCTTGGAGCACCGAGCTATTAAAAAAGATGTGCAGACAGGAAAATGTCCGAAAGAGACTAAAATGTTTTTAGATGCTGCTGAGGATATCTTACAAGTATCTAGTACCAAAGTGTCCAAGTGGTAGCAACTTTGTAAGAATGGAAGGATGAACATTTTTGATTATCAACTCCTGCAATACCCCAATATCCTGTTCATCGCATGGACGTTGCGCCTATGGATTTTGCATTGTTTCTCATATCTGATCGCTGAAATGCGTAGACATTCTTTTAAAGATCTCACAAATATCCGATACGCCACAAAAGACATTAAAAAATATATAACATGTCTTAATATAATCATTCAATTTTTAAATCAGAAAAAGACATGAAAAATCTATATATATGAAATATTTTTAGAACTGCTAAAAAGCTTCACATGTCTGAAATCAGGTTGTCGTGTCTCCTTACGTCATATTTAACGTCCAGTGATTGCTCCGTGGATCCGATGACCGCGCAGTAAAAATCAAGGTATATTTTCAAAATTTTAGTAAATGGACCTGATCTTTTACATACTAATAAACAAAATATAAGAATTTAATTAGACATACGTCATTCTTTAAAGTATATTTTCCTTACATCAACGTGTCCGCGAACTTTTATAACAACCCTCGTATCATTAATTGCTGTTGTAAAATTTAAACAAAAATCAAAATTAAGAATTATCTCCCTAATGCATAGCTCTGATCCTTCGACGTATTTGGATCCAGTCTTTGGCACCCCTTTTTTCAGCTATTCAAAGTTTTTTTTATTTAAATATTTCGGATTTCCAACATTTCGGCATAAGCATCACGGAAGATACATAATTTTTTTTTCGAAATGTCCATCTGGTGCATAAAAATTGCTACCGTATAAGATTTAAATGATGTAAATATTCCTAAGTTTTGTTGTCTGAAGTAAAGCAAGATTAATTTGTATAATAATTCCGTTGGTACTTAATGTATAAATATAATGAAACCTCAATTAAATTTCCTTGATTTGAATGAAGATTTTAGATAATATTATGACGTTTTATTCTCTTTAAATGAAAATTTAATGCATAACATATAGTAAATAAATAACACAACTATGAAGTTGTGAAGATTTTCTTATCGCAGAAAATAATGGTGGTAGATAAAGCATGATTTACATAGAATAGCATATTTTTGTATATAAGATATATTTTTTTCAAATATCATAACAAGGGCAGTAAATATCCTTCTTTCATCTGGTTTGGAAAGTTTGTGCAAGTGTCAAGGGCATGTGAAAAGGCACTAGAGAACCTAGCAAAATATTGCGCTATTATAATTTAAATAACCCCTTGAAACATGACAATTAAATAAGTGGAGACCCAAGAAGATGAGCGAGTACTGTTTCAGACCGATAGCTTAAGGGTTTAATTTCTTTCACATGTTCTATCATTCGCTTTTAAGATATCCCTTTTGGTAACAGTAGATCGTTATCATTGAACAGGTATATTATTCCAGGTTTATTTCGACTTCCATATGTTATTCAATGTGCTTTCTTCATAGATTCTTGGTCCAATGTTAAATCAAAATATAGTACACTTTGGGGAATGTATTCATGCCATTAGCTTTAGATCAGGAAGTATGCCTGTTATAGTGTACACTAGTGTATAGGTACAATGAGCTTTATGTCGTTTAAGAAAATCTTTTTAAAAAGTTACTAAGCTTAAATCTTTCGCCCTAACGTATCGCAATTTCTTGAACATTTGTCCCAATGAGATTTAAAGATTGATTGATTATTTGTAGTTTTGCGTTCCTATAAAGATGAATTGTCAACAAATGCCCGTAAAGGGCTTCATTTTACACCTATACTAGACACTCGGGACCATTAAGCAGTGAGGATCTTCATCGTGCCAACGTTTGGGTAACACGGGGTCTCATCCGCGAGACCCGCAACTTTCACTTCGAAGATCCGAGCACTTGGCTAAAGAACATTAAATTTTGCTAACTGCAGTATTTTTGATACTTTAGTTTGTCGCGGCCGGGCCTTGAACCCAAGACCTTCCAATCATTGAGCATGCGATCTACCGACTAAACTGCAGTGACGGTATATATCTGCACACTACGTTTTAAAAAATTACGTGTAACGAGGTTCGTTCTTGAGCTTTTGAGCAGATTTTTATCTTGAAATCTATTTAAATTTTTCTGCATAATGCTTTAGTTCTTACAATAAATTTGGATTCTACAATGCTAATAAAACTATATTCAATCAAACCCCATTATTAAACTTCTTACCGAAAGCATTAATTGAGGAACTATATTTTTGTGGCAGAAGGTGTTTTAGAAGAAAATGATCAATTTTTCTCTTTCAAAATATTTACAGCATTATTAAGTTTAGATTGCTATTTTTACATGCAGCCTGCACATAGTTATTTTGTGCAGTGAAATGTTTTATGCTGGTCCTAAATTATATATCAAATTAACTGTCATGAATTCTATCATTATATCGGACAAATATAGCAAATATATTGTGAAAGTTCTGAGAAAAAAAGTACCCCACTTCAGGCTAAAAATTATAACTATTTTAGTTATATTTAAAAATTAATATCACAGACCCCAGATTAATGTACATGTGTTAGACGTAATTACAGTGCAAAAAGGTCATATTAAATGCTCCGTAGTGCCAAAAGAACCGCATTGATCCCCATTTTTGGTTTTGATTTTTAACTTACCTATGTGTATAAATTTCAAAAATGTACTTGATAAAAAAATTCTCAATACTTTTGATAACAGTATCCAATCTCCTAAAAGCAGATAAGTATAGCTATATTCGAAAAATAAATATCAAATTGATTTAATTAAAATATACATAACGACTAAATTCATATACAGTAAAACACGCTTGCAGCTAACACGCTTATAATGAATTGACGCTTACAACGATGTGATTTATTTTATTCCAGTGTCTCTAAAATGTATTGCGAACTTAACGGATAAAACAAACTAAGTTTATAAGGAAGCAAACTCGCCCATCACTGATACTTCGTTATAAGTGTGTTTTACTGTACATATAAAATAATTTCGTCAAAATCGGGAAAAAAGAGAAATTTGATGGTGATTTTCCTTGTCTTAGATAGCATATAAAAGTATCTTGAATGTGCTTCTTTCAATTCATTTAAAAATTGTAAAGACGCATGTAAACTATGATTTTTTTCCTCTGTAAAAGTAATAGAAACCAACAAGTTCTATCTAAATTATCAGTATTTGAATAATTTGTTGACAAATTGAAAACATACCGTAGTCTCTATGTTTGTAGTCTTTAAAATATATACTTATGCTGTAAATACTGTGATTGGCTCCGAGATCTACTAACCACCATACAGTTTTTTCTGGAGATGTCGGACCTATATCATATGTTTTCATGCATGTTTTTCTGTCGCCATCTACGGCCTTGTCAGGACCACATGGAGAGACACATAGATGGAATGATGACTGTGTAGTCGTTTTATCCCTTGATAACTCATCTTGAAGAATAAAAAGATTTATGTAACATTGCATTTTATTTACCTATTTATCTATTTATTATTTTTTAATTCTATTTTCGGAAAATGTCAAATATTTCAGAAGAAAAGAACTATAAATGTATCTTATAAGAATCTTATACGTACTTAATAAGAAGCGGTCATGAACTTGTAGGACTGTTGCGAACATACAGATCATAAGAAAATATTTAATTAAGAGAATGCCCCGATAAAAATTAATCAAAATCTATATTGGCCCAGAAACATAGGCAAGGTTTTTGGGATCCCTACATAGAGCCTCCTTTTTATTAGAATATTACCCCGTGGATGCCTTTTGTCATTTTACTTCGGACTACTTTGTCTACTTGTAGACGCCAAATGTTATCCAATAGGATGGAAGTTATTTCTGATAAATGAATTCCATTAGTATTATAATGCAAGATCATTGTTAATATTTACATTTGCTCTGTTTTTCTGCTAAGCCAAGTTTGAAATTGATTTGAATACCATTTTCGAGTATACTCACGCGTAGAAATATACACGGATAAACTCGCGCTAAAGTGATATCACAATAAGCTACAGAGACGTTCATAAAATATAACGATACAGGACAGCGAATAATTAAAAAATGAGTATATCTTTGTTGCTTTTGAACATGTAAAATGTAAATTTAAGGAATGTTTTTAAGTTTAGTGTGAATTATTGATTGGTGTGTAAATCACACAGAAGTGCACATAGGCATAATTTTCATGAAGCACTAGCGCACTTCATGAAATATACCTTTGTGACAAGTCTGTGTGATTTATACACAAATAACACACACAAAACTTAAAAACATTCCTCAATTAAAGTCCCAAACTTAACCCATATTATACATGTAATATTATTACCCAAAAACTGAATCGGGAATTTTTCTGTTTGAACTTGAAAATGACATTTTAGTTAGAATATAGAAACATCCAAACAAACAAAACACTATAGTAGTATAGGGTTAACTATAGTTTACTTTAGCTAAATTAGTTAAGTATAGTAAATAAATAATTAAAGTTATCACTGTAGTAAATCAAAGTTTTCAAAGTTATCACTAAATTAAATCAAAATTTTCAAAGCCTTCACTATAGTAAATCAAAGTTTTCAAAGTTATCATCATAGTAAATCAAAGTTTTCATAGTTATCACTACAGAATTTCAAAGATTTCATAGTTATCACCATAGTGTCATAGTGATCACTATAGTAAATAAAAAGTTCTCATAGTTTTCTCTATAGTGTCACAGTTATCACTATAGTAATATAAAGTTTTCAAAGTTATCACTATCGTAAAACAAAGTGTTAAAGTAATCACTATAGTTAACTATAGTTTCCATAGTGTCAAAGTTATCACTATTGTTAACTTTAGTAAACTATAGCTAACTATAGTTTACTATAGTATTTTTTGTAAGGGAAATGACTATAAACAAGCTTTTAAGTGGGCAACATACAGTAGCTTTTGGCCTCAGAAAATACAATACTTGATCGATAACTTAATATGACGAGAATATGATGAAAATGATATTTTTATTTCATAAAAGAACATACACAATTTAAATTCTTAGGATTTTAGGATACATCAGATAATAATAAACATCAATAAGTATGGGTCACTTGATCAATTACTTATGAAAAAAGCATTTCTCCATTTTTACTTTTCATTCACATATAATTTTCTGCTCTTAGTGAACAGCTTGAGAAAGCTTTTAAGGTTCATAAATTAACTTTCCTAACAGCAGAACATTTAATGTAATATTATAATTATTTACTTTTTCGGAACAATTTTTATAAATACAACATATACTATTTGTTTAAATTCGTATATGAAATAATTACATATATAAAAGAAAGAAAAGTGAAAGGCAGGACCATTTTCCGGTAGTTGTGGTATACATCCTGAAGCAAATACGCACGGTACTGTGTATCAATTAATTTCGGTAAAGGTTGTTGTAGTAATTATTAAAATAGAGGTGATTAAATAGCATACAACTTAATAGTTAAATCAATATGTGTTTGTGAAACACTGATGCCCGATAGTTCATTGCTAAGGCTAGAATGTCTTGAATGCAAGGTACCCCAAAGAAAGGTCTTGTCACATGGAATACAAATGTGAAATATGAAAGCCCTTGTGCCAGCCATTCAGAAAGTATTGTTAAGATTATTTTTTTTAAAGAAAAAGGAGGTCAAACTACTCTAATATCAAAGACAAAAGTTAAAAAGAAATTGGTACCCAATGGGGGGTCCTTGTCTAAAGTTATACACATGTAAAACATGAAAGCTCTACTACAAACTGGCATTGTCTAAAAATATGGCCAAGATTATTTTTTTTTAGAGAAGGGCTCACTCTAAGGTCAATTGGTCATAAACGCTGGTACCCAAAAGGAAAGTCTTGTTACAGTTATACACAAGTAAATATGAAAGCCCTACTACCAACCAATCAAGTTTTCTGAAAAAGGTCAAACTTTAAGATCAAGATGTCAAAAAAAATTATACTGAAGGAATTAAAGATCTTGTCACAAGTATGTTGTGAGGTGTGTTGTAATTGAAGTATGTTTGTATTGTTTCATCATGTTATATATTAAGTATCATCAAGAAACTTCTAGAACATTCCAGAGTGGTCAACATGTATGGTCATTTTTCTAGAACATTTTTGAATCTTGAATTTCGTGAATGTCCAGAATGTTCAAGTAACATCATGCATTTACAATTTCTAGAATTTTCTAGATCTATGTTTAGGAATAAATACACTGTCAATTGTATGCATGGGTAAGACTGGCGTACAAGAAGACTGGCGTACTGTTTGTTTGTTTGTATGTTGTTTAACGTCCCTCTCGAGAATATTTCACTCATAAGGAGACGCCACCACTTGCCGCCGGAGAGCTGCAAATTTTGTCCTATACTCGGCACTTACGGCCATTGAGCAGTGAGGGATCTTTTTCGTGCCAGCACCTTCTGCGACACGGGACCTCGGTTTATACGGTCTCATCCGAAGGACCGGTCTCCACGTCCCACAGTGGGATTCAAACCCGCGACGTAAGGATCAACTCCTTACTTCGCGACTCTAGAGCAGACGCTCTAACCACTGCGCCACGCGGGCGACTGAGTACAAGGAGACTGGGATAGGATATTCTCACTGGGACATTGTGTGTAGTAACGGACACTATGTTGTATGTATGTTGGATTCTTGCTGTAAGTTTGCAATTTTTGATTTTTATATATTACTGTAAATAAAGTGTTGTTAAGTTTAAACTGTGTTATTGAATTTTGCTGGCATTTCGGCTTATTCTGACCCATAACAAGTAATAAACTGGTATGAAAGTTCTAACACTAATCATTTAAAGTGATGGTCAAGGGTAAAGGTTTCATTAATATGTCATTCGTTAGGGTCAAAGTCATAAATATTAATACCCAAAGGAACGTCCTGTCACAATTAATAAATAAGTAAATATGATATCCCTAGCATCAACCTTCGAAAAGTTTTGCCAACGTTAATGTTTTTTTTTTAAATAGGTCATACTAGAAGGTTAAGGTTAAAGGTGAGAAATGTTGGTACAAGAGGGAAAGTCTTCTCACAAACATAACCTTTGTGAAATATAAAAACCCTATCACTAACCATTCAATAGTTATATTGAAGGGTAAAGGTATACCAAAGTAGGTCAACTTCCAAGGTCAAGGTAAAAAGAATCGAACCAATGAAAAGCCCATACAAAGGTAAAAGTTTTTGTGGACAAACAGACAAACATGAAAGACGGACACACCGATTCCCCGATTAAGGGGACATAATAAAACAATGTTTTGTTCTGTTTTGTTTTTATTATTATTATTTTTATTATTATTAATGTCTTTCGTCTCAACGGAAGACCTTATTATTCTGTTGTTTCTTTTCAACTTTTTTTTATAAAAGGTCTTCCGTCTTCAGCGGAAGACCTTACTGTTATTCTTAGGTTTCTTTTCCACTATTTTTATTATTTTTTTCCTATCGATTTTGTGCACGTGAGATCTCGAAAACGGCTTGTTTGATTTTCATGAAACTTTCAGGTCTGGTAGAACATCAAAAAATCTAACTATATATATATATATATATATATATATATATATATATATATATATATATATATATATATATATATATATATATATATATATATATTGATGACGTAACTTCCGTTCTGGAGATTTTTGCGATTAAATGATTTTTAGAGGGTCACTTTGTCCGCTCGTTTTCTTAAAAAAACACACACTTATAACAGGAACTTGATATTTTCAGCGATGATAGAGCAATGTTCATAGATGTGTACTAAGTAGTTCATTTTTCCCAGAAGTGCCTCACATCGACGCTCGGCATGCTCCGAAAATAGTCATATTTAAAATATCAAAATTTTTAGCATTTTTTTAAGAAATAAGGTATCATTTTTAAACATCTATCGGGCTATAAATACGGGTTGGTACGAGATCAAATTCCATAAAGCCCGAAGGGCTTTATGATAAATTTGATCTCGTACCAACCCGTATTTATAGCCCGATAGATGTTTTAAAATGATACCTTATTACCTTATTACTTATATTTACATTTGTGACTTATTCATATTTTTTATTTGCCTGATTATAATCTTTAAATCGTGAAACGTTTTATTTTTCAAACCCAACGGCACGTGTTTGATCAATTGATTGCGCTTCGACCCTTTATGACGTCACTGGGAAATTACGTCGAACGTTTATGACGCGAGGAAACCGTGTTTATACGGATATAGATGCGCGTTGCTTTTAATAGTGTTATATAAAAGAAAACATTTGCAAATGTAAATATCTCTTTACTTGTAAATATTTTGTTAAAATATATAGAACAAAAGTTGTACAGTATGACAAGCTCTTTTATTTGATATCGACAAATTGGGGCTTGTCCCTAAAATAAGGGATCTACAGGGGCTGAAAGTGTTTTCTCAATATCTCAAAAACTATTGAGAATTTGTAATATATCAAAGAACCAAATTTGTTCAAAATGACAAGTAGAAGCGAGTAAGATTGTGGAAAAGTCGTCAAATGATGTCGCTTTCGGCCAAAACGGAAGTAATCAGAAAATGCATATTTCTGCCGTTTTCGACACGTTATTGGTTAATTTATGTAACCAGAAACGTCCAACCAAATTTATCATACCTCGACATCACTTCTGGTCAAACCGGAAGTAGCCAGAAATAGCTTATTTGCAGGTTTTATGCACAACTTAAATTTCAAAGTCACTGGAGACGTATTAACTGATTCCTTTCTTTTGTTGACGTCACTTCAAAACAGGACGGAAGACCTACTCCTTGCTTTGCAACGAGCTTTGTTCTAGTTTTATTAAGGTCTGCCGTCTCAACGGAAGACCTTCTTATTATTCTGTTGTTTCTTTTCAACTTTTTTTATTATCATTATTCTTACCGATTTTGTGCACGCGATTTCTCGTAAATGCATGGATGGATTCTCATGAAACTTTTAGCAATGATGGCAAATTACATGAACTTAAGGCATTTTTTATTTTGATGATGTCACTTCCGGTCGCGAGTTACACCCGATTTTCTCTTTTTAAATTGAAATTTTGTCTGTGCCTTTTCTCAAAAACGGTTGAAGATAGAGTCATGAAACTTTCTGGGATAATAGATCTTGATCTGTAGATGTGCCTCTGGTGTTTTGTTTTTTCCAGTGGCACTTCCTTTGTCCTCCGTAAGTAGTTTTAAAATACGCAATTTTTATTTTTTTTTATTATGAAATGATTATAACGTACCGTATAGGGTGTTTCAAGTTATTTCATATCTACCGGAAGTTGGTTATTCTAAACCGGAAGTTGTCAAAAAAAAGTATTTTTCATCCAAAGTTCCAGGAAATATTTGTACACACTCATTGTGGAGTTTTAAGTCGTTTTGAGCACTTCTTGTCATACCGGAAGTGAATTTGAAAGAACAAGAAATGGGGTTGAAATTAAAAGATATCACTCTTTCATGTGTTTCTAAACATATTTTGAATAATTCAATCGCCTATTTTATTCAAATGTACTTGTTCTTCCTTTTTTTTTGAGAAAATCTATCACAGTCAACATCGTAAATCAGACGGAAGACCTACTCCTTGCTTTGCAACAAGCTTTGTTCTTATTTTATTAAGGTTTTCCGTCTCAACGGAAGAACTTCTTATTATTCTGTTGTTTCTTTTCAACTTTTTTTATTATTATTCTTACCGATTTTGTGCACGCGATTTCTCGTAAATGCATCGATGGATTTTCACGAAATTTCCACCAATGATGGCAAATTACATGAGCTTAAGGCATTTTTTATTTTGATGATGTCACTTCCGGTCGCGAGATACACCCGATTTTCTCTTTTTAAATTGAAATTTTGTCTGTGCCTTTTCTCAAAAACGGTGAAAGATAGAGTCATGAAACTTTCTGGGATAATAGATCTTGATCTGTAGATGTGCCTCTGGTGTTTTGTTTTTTTCCGGTGGCACTACCTTTGTCCACCGGAAGTAGTTTTAAAATACGCAATTTTTATATTTTTTTATGAAATGATTATAACGTAGCCATATAGGGTGTTTCAAGTCATTTCATATTCACCGAAAGTTGGTTATTCTAAACCGGAAGTTGTCAAAAAATAGTATTTTTCATCCAAAGTTCCAGGAAATATTTGTACACACTCATTGTGGAGTTTTAAGTCGTTTTGAGCACTTCTTGTCATACCGGAAGTGAATTTGAAAGAACAAGAAATGGGGTTGAAATTAAAAGATATCACTCTTTCATGTGTTTCTAAACATATTTTGACTAAATCAATCGCCTTTTTTATTCAAATATACTTGTTCTTCCTTTTTATTTTTTTTTTGAGTAAATCTATCACAGTCAACATCGTAAATCAGACGGAAGACCTACTCCTTGCTTTGCAACGAGCTGTGCTCTAGTTTTATTAAGGTCTTGCGTCTCAACGGAAGACCTTCTTATTATTCTGTTGTTTCTTTTCAACTTTTTTTTATTATTATTCTTACCGATTTTGTGCACGCGATTTCTCGTAAATGCATGGATGGATTTTCATGAAACTTCCATCAATGATGGCAAATTACATGAACTTAAGGCATTTTTTTTATTTTGATGATGTCACTTCCGGTCGCGAGTTATACTTGATTTTCTCTTTTTAAATTAAAATTTTGTCTGTGCCTCTTCTCAAAAATGGTTGAAGATGGAGTCATGAAACTTTTTGGGATAAAAGATCATTATCTGTGCATTTGTCTCCGGTGTTTCGTTTTTTCCGGCGTCACTTCCGTTGTCCACCGAAAGTAGCTTAAAAATATGCAATTTTTGATTTTTTTAAAATTTTTTAATGTTTATAACATTGACATATGAAGTGTTCAAGTCATTTCATTTCCACCGGAAGTTATACTTTTAAACCGGAAGTTGTCCAAAAATGAATATTTTTCATCCAAACTTTCTGGAAAGATTTGTACACACTTACTGTGGAGTTTTAAGTCGTCCTGAGCACTTCTTGTCATACCGGAAGTGAATTTAAAAGAACCGGAAATGGATTGAAATTAAAAGATATCACTCTTTCATGTGTTTCTAAACATATTTTAAATAATCCAATTTCCTATTTTATTCAATTATACTTGTTCTTCCTTCTTTTCTTTTTGTTGAGTAAATCTATCACAGTCAACATCGTAAATTGGACGGAAGACCTACTCGTTGCTTTGCAACGAGCTTTGCTCTAGTTATCATTATTATTATTCTTATCAATTCTGTGCACGCGATTATTCCTAAGTGCGTTGATGGATTTTCATGAAATTTTCAGGAATGATGGCAAATCATATGAACTTAAGGCGTTTTTTCTTATTTTGGTGACGTCACTTCCGGTCGCGAGTTATCCCCAATTTTCTTTATTTATATTAAAATTTTGTCCGGGTCTCTCCTCTAAAATAGTTAAAGATCGAGTCATGAAACTTTCGTGTATAATAGATCATGATCTGTAAATTTGTCTTCGATGTTTCGTTTTTTTTCCGGCGTCCCTTCCATTGTCCACCGGAAGTAGTTTAAAAATATGCAATTTTTTTTTTTCATTTTTAGTTGTTTATAAAATTGACATATGCAGTGTTTCAAGTCATTTCATTTCCACTGGAAGTTGTACTTCTAAACCGGAAGTTGTCCAGAAATGCGTATTTTTTCATCGAAACTTTCTGGAAAGATTTGTACACACTCATTATGGAGTTTTAAGCTATATTGAGTACTTCCGCTCATACCGGCAGTGAATGAAAAAGTACCGGAAATTGCTTGAAAATAAAAGATATCACTCTTTTATGTGTTTCTAAACATATTTTGAATAAATTCAAGTTTCATTCATCTATATTTGTTCTTTCTTTTTTTTAAGTCAAACCATCACAGTCATGATCATATTTCATCGGTAAACTGACGGAAGACCTTCTTAGTGCTTTGCAACAAGCTCGTCTAGTTATTATTTTATTTTTGTGTTTTGTTCAAAAGAAGGTTTTGCTTGTAGAAATTAAATACTTGTATTTATAGAGTTGTAAAGTAAAAATTCTCAGGAAAGACTAAAGTAAAGAGCTTTGTATAAGGTCTTTCGAACGAACTCCTGAATGAAATAACTTGATAAGTCGATGTATTTTAAATATTTTCAATATTCGCATCCGTAAGTACATAGGAATACAAGTACCGCACAACAAGCATTTTTTTTTTTCAACCTATTATGAATTGTGTAATCTTGCTCTTGATATTTACTTAATACATGTATTTGGGAATTTTGGTCATCATATGCATAATCTGAGATCAATGATAAGTACTTTGCAAAAGAAAGTAAAGTAAGTTAAGCAGGATATTGTTAATGGAAGTCCCCACGCTAGAATGTACATTCCTCCTAGATAGATACAAGATAGATACAAGCAGTCAAATGACATCGATCCGATTGCAAATGTTACTTCTGTTAAGCATACACACTAACCCACTCACAGGCGCGTTGCTATATCACTTCCAACTTCGTTGCGAGAGGAAAAAATGTAACAATTTTCACCTACCAAATCCAAACAAATGAGGTATTCCTGTAAAAAGTAATACAATTCTATAACTCGTATCCATATTATCAGTAGAACACAGTTAACTACGAGGAAGATTTGCTATATATAATGAAAATGAATACGTTTGGTCGTTACCACTGTATTTCAGTTGGACAGGTTTAAATTCTTCCTTATTTGTGTTATTATTGAAAGAAAGGTTTGTTTATCAATTCTTTCCTCTAGGATAAGTTAATTTTCTGTGTTATATTTGAATTTTGTATGCATTTTTCAGCTGACTATATCGGATGCTAAACTTGTTGGTATGAATTTTTTCACAATTGTTTTTTATCAAATAAAAATAAAATTCGGAAATTGCGCCTTTTGCATTATTGAACAAGGTTTTCAAACTCAAGAGTAACAAGCATTTTCCCTTCTGTGAATGAGAAAGAAGTTCGCTGGCATGCTAAGGAAGCATTCAAATCATTTCTCGGAAAATTTAAACTTTTTAAAGAAATTTAAGTTTGATAAATCATCAAAGCCGCTAGTGAAACGTAAACTATTATTAAATATTTCATAAAGACAAAAGAGTGTCCGAGGCCAAAAAGTGCACCACCACGACGCCATCACGTGAGTGCTATTAAAAGCAAAATATTCCGTAATAAAAAAGTAAACAGAACAACACTACCTTTGGGTTTGATAATTCATATTAGTAAATAATATAGCTGTTAAAACATTTCTTATGCCTGAAAAGTGCTGCTGGAATCCTACTGTCCGGTCAGGAAAATAATTACTCCGGACATCCGCACGAAACCTTACCCGATGTTTTGCATTATATATATATACAGTCCCTGAAACGTTCTACTTTCCCACTTGAACGGTGAGCGAACGCTGAACGAACGGTGAACGAACGCTGAACGAACGCAGAGCGAACGGTGAGTGAACGATGTGTGAACGCTGAACGCAACTTGGTGAACGATGTGTGAATGGTGAACGGTGAGCGAACGCAGAATGCGAACGGAGTGCAAACGCGAGCGCAAAGTGAACGGTGAACGAACGGTGAACGCAATATGAACGATTTATTCGGAATGCCTCTTCTTTTCATTGCATTGAAACTATTCTACTGTATTCTAATGCCTGGTGCTAAAAAAAAATTAATAAATAAAAAATAAATAAACAAATCAATGAAAATTGTCCAAGAAAGACGATACATGCACATTAAGTAAAATTCTAACAATATTTTCTGCACATATGTTCGATGTTTAAATTCAACTTTTTAATAACATGATTTTTATCGCTGTAAAACATTGTAAGTGTTACCGAACACTGTAGTATAACAGATGAAATTAATCTAGTTTTAAAATAAATATGTTTATTTTTATTTGATTTATAAAACCATTACAAATAATGTGGATTTTAGAAGAGAAAACTACGGACTTATAGAATGAATTACTACGGTTGTAACAACCATACAAGGCGATTCCGTGTAAAATAATGAGAATTTTTTTTACAAAGGTATGTGGACGTATTGCATAAATACACTCATATTTTGAAATTTTATTGCAATAATATATTTATGTGTCAGTTTTTATTTTTTATGATGATTTATTGAGCAAACTTCTACATGTATCTTTAGACATTTCCCGGCCCTGATTATACTCGGACAAGATGATACAAAGAGGCAATCATATTATTTGTTATATATTAAATTTTCACAACTTGATATTTAAGTAATATGCTGTCATAGTTTTTATTAAACAGACAAATGAGAGAGAGAGAGAGAGAGAGAGAGAGAGAGAGAGAGAGAGAGTCGGTTTTAGCCCCCCCTTCCTCAAATGTTTGTACCTACATCAAACAAAAATTCTAAATTTTTTCTAAATATATCAGGCAGTGAAAGTAATCTTTTTTTTTTATCAACAAATCCTTTTTTTTTACAGTCATAATCAGTTTTTTTCCTGCTTCAAGTTCACACGAAGTCCACGTGCTTGACCTGTCAATCAAAATCATTCGACACTGTGCAGGGGTGAAAGTCTCGTCACACCGAAGGCAAAGTGTTAGTATTTCAAAGAAGTTTTAACATTTTTTCTTATAATTTCTAGAGGTGATTCCGACATTTCTTAAAAATAAATAAATAAATAAATAAAATACATTGGGAATAAACACTTGGAATGATTAAGCCGCTTAAATTTGAAACATACTCCCTGCCAATTTAAAATTTCACCGCCGGCACATGTATATTTTGATCTACTATTGTTTAATGACTTTGTTTAGATGCATGTTTGTTTTGAGACTGAAATTTTTGTGCTACAAAACACATTAACTTCTTTTTAAATGTTAATTAAAATTTACTGGAAATACTAAGTAACCGATTTAGGGGAAAGGGGGGGGGTAATAATATCGAATGACAAACATATAAAGGTACGGTGAAAAATATCATAACTGGAGAATCACCTTGCTTATATAAATGATAATCATGTTATAAAGGCATTTCTCTCTCTCTAATTAAAGACTTTATATATGTAAAGTAGAAAAAATTTCTTGTATTACATTTTAAACAAATATTTTTTTTTAAACCACACTATCAATTTAATTCGCTCTAAAGATATTTAATTAACTGGATATCCGCAGTACTGTTTATCATTTTCAGAACAAATTCTAACCTGTATTTCTGTATTATTTGAAAAAAATGTGATAGAAAAAAATATTTTCCTATTTTTGCTGCAGTTGGTAAATTAATTGACTTCGATTATTATCTATCCATTAACGATTGGTCGTCTTTAACATAACAACAAAATGTTGCAGCGCTTGAAGTATCAGTATTTTGCTCGTATTTAAATTTATATTTAGCATCGTTCTACATAGGTACATACATGTACTTATAACAATATTTATTTTCCAGATAAGTTTTATAAATAAATAACCTAACAAGTAAGTTAGCATAATAAAAATAAAAACTGTAGATAATTTTTTTTCTCATGATATAATGATTCTTTAAACACGGTATGTTATTTATTAAATTCAAAACATGTAAATCCTTACTTAAAAAAGATAAGTCCTTTCACTTCGGAGTTCCGAATGACACTGAAGACTGAACGATAAGTGAACGCTGAACGCAAGGTGAACGCAAAGTGAACGAACGAAGAGCGAACGGTGAACGCTTTGTGAACGGTGAACGCGAGCGCACGGTGAACGCTGAACGCAAAACTGTGAACGGAGAGCGAACGGTGAACGCACGCTGAACGAACGGTGAACGCACGCTGAACGAACGGCGAGCGAAAGGAAAAATGGGAAAGTAGAACGTTTCAGGGACTATATATATATATATATATATATATATATATATATATATATATATATATATATATATATATATATATTCTCACAATTCTAGAAGCACTTTCCCAGTATTACAGAATACAAACTTTCGATTCGATCTGTACAAATGTTATGTTTTGAAGTATCCGGCTTAGTGTTGTTCTTTTGCAAAATTTTGT